CTCAAACCTTGTGGGCGGGACTAATTTCGGAATGGCACCCAGGCTAGGCGTAACACACCAGACAAGTTGGGTGATATAGGAAAAAATCCCATTTCAAAATTGTTCAATGTTCAAAATCACGCACTTTGTGTTGTACATCATATCTTGTCTAATATTCCTGGTTCTTCAAAGTAGCAACCTTTTGCTTTGATTACTGCTTCGCACACTATTGGCTTGATGGGCTTCAAGAGTTCGTCAACTGAAATGGTTTTCACTTCAAAGGTGTCCCCTTTCAGGTTTAATAAGTTGGATTTCTTGCCTTATAAATGGGGTTGGGACCATCAGTTGTGTTGTGCAGGAGTAGGGTGGATAAACTGGCTCACATGATGACCGCCCAAGGAAAGGAGACAAAGAGTCATCTCTGCTGCGGAGGATAAGTTCATGTGAGTCACCAGCCTCAGAAAGAGCAGGTTAACAGCAGCTCAGAATAGAGACCAGGTCAATGACACACATAGTTCTAGCAGCAGACACATCTCTAGAACAACTGTTAAGAGGAGACTGTGTGAATCAGGCCTTCATGGTAGAGTAGCTGCTAGGAAACCACTGCTAAGGACCTGCAACAAGCAGAAGAGACTTTATTGGGCTAAATAACACCAGGAACGGACATTAGACCCATGGAAATCTGTGCTTTGGTCTAATGAGTCCAAATTTAAGATTGTTGGTTCCAACCATCATGTCTTTGTCCGACGCAGAAAAGGTGATCAGATGGACTCTACATGCCTGGTTCCCACCGTGAAGCATGGAGGAGGAGGTGTGATGGTGTGTGGGTGCTTTGCTGTTGACATTGTTGGGGATTTATTCAAAATTGAAGGCATACTGAACCAGCATGGCTACCACAGCATCTTGCATCAGCATGCTATTCCATCCGGTTTGCGTTTAGTTGGACCATCATTTATCTTTCAACAAGACAATGACCCCAAACACAGGCTAGTTGACAAAGAATGTTATTGATGGGGTGCTGCGCCAGATGAACTGGCCTCCACAATCACTGGACCTGAACCCAATCGAGATGCTTTGGGGTGAGCTGGACCGCAGAGTGAAGGCAAAAGGGCCAACGAGTGCTAAGCATCTCTGGGAACTCCTTTAAGACTGTTGGAAGACCATTTCAGTTGACTACCTCTTGAAGCTCATCAAGATAATGCCAAGCATGTGCAAAGCAGTCATCAAAGCAAAAGGTGGCTACTTTGAAGAACCTAGAATATAAGATATATTTTCAATTGTTTTACAATTGTTTTGTTAAGTATATAATTCCACATGTGTTAATTCATAGTGTTGATGCCTTCATTGTGAATCTTTAATTTTCATAGTCATAGTTCATAGTTCTTTGAATGAGAAGGTGTGTCCAAACTTTTGGTCTGTACTTTATATTGGAGTATATATACAAGTACCCAGTTCAATCCCCACTGCCTGAACTCTGGGTTCCTGAGCTGACCCTTAACCCCACACAGCCCCCCTGGTGCCACACAATGGCAGCGAGAGAGTGAATGCAGAGAGTGAATTTCCCCATCGGGATATTTATTTACAATAGGACTACACTGAAAAACAGTCCGATCTCCAGCATTTATAAACAAGGGTGTTGATGGAAGCAGCACAGCTGATATTTCTCTCCAGGATGGAGTCACAGCCAAACAGAAACAGACGATGTGAAAGTACTATGAGAAAATGCAGAGAGAGCAGAACATTAGAGATTGAACTAACATATTCTGCAGAGTAGGAGATAGAATTAAGCAGAATGATGAAATAGGGGTCCCTATGTCCTGTAGCCTGTAGCAGCATAACTATAAAGATATCGCTGCATAAGCTGATCCACTCTAACTATAAGCTTTATCAAAAAGGAAAGTTTTAAGCCTATCCATAAAAGTAGACAGGGTGTCTGCCTCAGACTAAAACTGGTAGTTGGTTCCACAGGAGAGGAGCCTGAAAACTAAAAGATCTGCCTCCCATTCTACTTTTAGAAATTCTAGGAACCACTAGTAAACCTGCAGATTGAGAGCGAAGTGCTCTGTTAGGAACATAAGGAACAATCAGATCTCTGATATAAGATGGAGCTTGGCCATTTAAGGCTTTATATGTGAGAAGGAGGATTTTAAATTCTATTCTGGATTTAACAGGAAGCCAATGAAGAGAAGCCAGGATAGGAGACATATGATCTCTCTTTTTAATTTTCATTAAAACAATTTTCTGGCTGCAGCATTTTGGATCAGCTGAAGGCTTGTAACTACATTTGTGGACTTCCTGATGGTAAAGAATTACAATATTCCAGCCTTGAAATACAAATGCATGGACTAGTTTCTCAGCATCACCCCTGAATAATATTCAACAGATGAAAGAAGGAAATTCTAGAAATCTCTTGGATATGGGATTTAAATGACAGGTCCCGATCAAAAATAACATCAAGATTTTTAACTTTATTATCTGAAATCAATAAAATGAATTGACTGATTAATCAGCTTCTTTTTCAAAGACTGCTGATGAATCTTATTCATAAACGTAATTTCTAGTATGACTTCAATTTGTTTTATTTAGATTTTATGTATTTTTTTAATTCTGTTTAACTGTAGTCTTACTGTGAAGCCTGCTGCTCTCTAAGAAAAGTCCTATATAAATAACGTACTTCCTTTTGTTATTGGGATAATTTCTTTTTTTGTTTTTCCTCTTCTTTTACCTGTGAAACAGATGAAATCCATGGGTACCAGGATGAAATCGATTTAGAGCTGGAGAGCTGTAGACCCAAACTGAGAGGAGTTTATGCTGCTTATACAAAGGAAGGTGGGTGAAATAAGAATGCATCGTTACTATATGCTGGGGAAGATTCTCAGTCATCCAGGTCATACTCATTCCCAAAAAGTTCATTTTCTTTTTTTTTCTTTTTTTTTTTTTTACTTTTTTTGGAAATGTTACTATAACTTAATCAATTTTCACTACTAGACCTGGTAAATATTATAAAGTGAATTTAAAAATTAAAATAAAAGTTCAGAGTGATAAAACTAGTATTTGCAATCTTATTCAAAATAGCAACCATGTGGTACGATTGTCTGTCTGGTCATAAGACCAGACACTCTGCAAACAGCCCACAGTCAGTTGTGGTTCATTTAAATCACACTCCCATTCCTAAAATCACAGCTCACCCACTAATTAACCAGAAAACATAGGATTTCTCTGTATTTAAGCTGTTAACTCAAAAAGAAGGTAATAACTCATGGAGACAAATCGATCACTGGTATGAGATAAACACCGACCACAGCATGTTGTCTGTTTTTTAGATTAGTAAATCCTAACAGGGGGTACTCATACCCCTAGTGGCCTTTTAGTGCATTGCAAAAGGTTTATGAAAATATTTTATTTCTCAGGTAATAAAATAAAATAGGGCTGGGATCTGTTCTGCCTTCTAAGGTCACTATTATATATTTCACATCCATTTGAAGGCTGCTGATCAAAAACAATAGAAAACCATCAACCACTTCTGCCGGGCATCAGGCTTCCATCTATTTGACTATACAACTACCATTAGTTTTTTCCACTCTCTTTATTTTCAAATGTATTTATGTCAGCTATGTGTTGCCTTGCCACAAAGTCAATTTCTGGCTCTGTTAAAACACAACTTAGTACAAGCTTTTTCTAGTTCTGATATCAACATTGGAAAAAGTATTGAGGAAGTAAGCGAGAGGCCTTGCTAATGGAACAAGAAAATTCAAATTTAAAATAAGAAAAAACAAGCATTGTCTTATTTCAAGTGCATATAATCTAATTCTTATTTTAAGAGTAAAAATACTCATACCATTGGCAGATCATCTTATTTACCTACTCAGATTAAGGGTAAATACGCTTACTTTAAGAAATGTTTACTTAATTCTAGATCGTTTTCGCAGTGAAGCTTCCAAGCTCAAGATAAAATCTGCACAAGAATTGAAGCAGTTGGTGTTACATAAACTGTTAATTAGATAAGCTTCTTTAAATTCATCTCATCTTCCTAACACCCATCATGTTTTTCTCTCCTCAGAGTGTCTAAGTGATGCCTTGAACTCGACATCATCTAAGGGGACGGAGGAAATGACCGAGAGCAATGAGCTCCTGGCTGTGGCTAAGCACTTCGGCAAGGAACTCCATGAAATCACCCTGGAAGCTCTAATAAAACTTGAGAAGGAAGGTTCAGAGGAAGATGAGAACCAACAGGAGAATGAGAATATTCCAAAGCGAAAAGGCCCCACACTGGCTTCCATACTGGGAAGAATGTCCTCATCAGCCACTCTGGGTCTCTCGGAGTCCATTAGCAACTGTGCCGTAGATGATGTGGAGAAAGGTATGTGGGGGAAAAAAATCCATATTAACCAAGGAAATGTTCTTAAGTAGTTATGCTAAGTTCCTGGAAATATTACTCAGATTTTAAAGTTCCACTTTCCCAGGTTTATTGTCTGTCATCTGCCCTTCTGGTTTTCCTGTCTTGCAGTTGCGTAATAGAATAATCCAATTCTGTTTAGATATGTAGCGCCAATTCACAACACGTTGTGTAAAAAAAATAACTCTGTCAATAAGGTCATATAACTATAGAACTTCTGGACAAACTGTTAGAATTTGTCTAAAAAAAGCTTGTACACTTGCTCCTTATCAGGACTCTGACCGGATTTTCAGTTTGTTGTAAATAAGGAGGAAAATATTGACATTCTAAGCAGTCTGGGATTTGGAGAGATGTTATTTTTTTTATTAAATCCCTGTTTTTAGTGTATAGAGCATGCCATAGTGTTTGTGAGTAGTTTGCTTGTATCATTGTTGTGGATTGAGTGGCCCGTAGTGGTGATGGGGGTAATTATGGTATTGGCAAGCATATATTGTTCACAATTAACATGTTTTAATTTTATTTATCGGATTCTCAATCCACAGAGACCCTGCGGCCCATTGCTGCAAACCTTTTTCAACCATCATCACCTCATGTTGTTTAACACTGATGGCCCAATTTTACAAGGTTTTGCTAGTTTCTGGTCAATTTTCTGAAGCTTAAAACACCTCAGTCCTTGCTTGACCATCATACTTACCTGACATATCAGCCACTAAAGTACATTTGGTTTGCTCTAAAACAGCATGTATAACAAAGTGTTTCCTCTTCCAATATCCAATATATAACAACTTTACACAGATAAAGGTGTGGACATTTGTTTTCAGTGCACATTGAAAATGTTTCAGCAAATCAAATAGTTGAGAATTTTATCAGGAAAAAGTTATTTTTTTTAAATGCAAGTAAAGTCAAAGAAGTTGTTCTCTGGATTTTTATTTGGAAATAAAATCCAGTGGAAATTATGTAAGGGATTATGCCCAATGAGATCATTTGGAGCTAGGGCAATAATTTGATATAATGATTGGACCAGAACTTCTTTGTTAGGTGTCTCATATCACTTTTTAACACACATCCAGCTGCCAGTCAGAATGAAGTATTTACCCAAATTGTGGTATAAATAACTAATTGTCAGAATTTTGCATTTTATTTTTCTCTATTTGGGTCTTCTCTAATCTTGATCTTTAATAATTGTGATAATTGTTTTCATGACAGATGACATCACTGACAATGGGGAGCTGGACCTGAGTGGCATAGATGACAGTGAGATAGATTTCGTACGTACCTTCCTCTGACCTCTGTTCAGATCAATGCTCCATCTAAAATGGAATCAAATCACTTGTACTTCTTTACATTCATAAGAAAATTGTTATAAATATTAAGTAATTAACTATAAATAATAAAAATGTCCACATATGCCGCCTAATATTTCATGTCAGTCATGGCAGGGTTTTTTTCTTTTTGGTTTAATTATGGGTAATCTGAGCCGCCCTGTGGAGGCGTATTTTTCCCACTATTATTATTCTGCTATTGTTACTTTGACAGAAATATATTCACATGATTGTGTCTTTATATTCCGTCATTGTACCAATGCAACCTTTAAAGCCACGATGCAAAAAGACATTATTGCACTTTAGTTTGCAATATTCTAAATCTAGATGCAAAAACTAAGCCTGCAAATCAGTTTTTTTTTTTGTAGGTGGGAAGTATTTACATTTGATATCCTGCACCTAGTGTTAACACAGAGTGTGCAGTTTAGTATTATTTTCCACATGCTTTAATATAATAAAATATTTTGAAGATCTGGCCCATGCAATTAAGCCCCTCTGACTCTTCTAGTTTAAAGATCAGTACCGCTGGCCCTTTATGACTCTGTACACATTAAGTGGTTTCTGTAGAACACGGATCACCAGGCCTCTTAAAACTGTTAAATTTAAAAAAAGATCTTTGTGTTTTATTACCATAATTACTAACTTGTTATATTTCCTGTTCTGTTTTGCTTCTTGATCTTTTCAGTATCTGCTGAGTGACAATGAAGTCAAAATCAAGACTGCGCTCTGGATGGCAGAAAACTCAGATTACCTAAAAGAACAAAAAGGTATTTGTTGCTCTTTTGGTTTTCACATCTTATGTGAAAGTCATGATTATTCTTAAAATAAATCACACACACTCAACGGGGGTTGAATTTCTTCCGGAAGAAACAGGAAGAAAGTCCTGGTAATGGATCATATTTTGGAGAATTTAGATGGTTCCATTGAAAGGTGAACTCACTATATCCAGCAGGTTATATAAGGACAAATCTTTATGAGAATACACACAGTGACACAAATTAAAAATGGATATAATTTATTTAGTGTTATAAAAATCTAGATGAATTAATAACTATTAATCTAAGAACTTGCAAAGAAACAACTGTGTTGAAACACTTTTTGAAACACTATTTAAAACAGAATTGATAATTTATTAATAGCCTTTGAATGGTAGGAAAACACTTTCTTGTACACTCAGATTACACCTGCTTGCTTTCCTTTTGTTTAAATCTTCTGCTATTCATGCCCCCAAACTATCTTGGTTTATAGATATTGAACCTCGCCTCAAGGTTATTACTGAATTTGGGCCTGTTTTGTTATTTTAAATCATGAGCACTGACAGAGCAAATTTCCATACAACGTTACAGAGCCTGTGAAGCACTTATGTACCAGTCTTCCCAATAGGGAATTGTGAGTTAAAATAATTAAGAAATGGCCGCCAGACCATATAGAATCTCTGTCATGTGTTTTTCAACTTGTCAAGTTTCAAGTCTGCCATTACATCCTCAATCCAGTGCTGTGTGTGTGTGTGGGAGGCATATCTGACTTCCAATTAAGCAAATAAGACGTCCGGCCAACAAAGATGAAAATGCATTTGCATCAGGTTGTGCACCAGATATTACAATCTCAGTGGAGCCAAAATAAATATGGAAATTTCACGATCAGTTTGTCACAGATGTGAGAAAAAGTATCAAAAATTGAGGACCAGAAATGTGCCAGTTTTGGGCAACCCCAGAACACATGAAGGGTAGCTGGAGCCTGAAAAAATCGGGAGCAAGTATGATCGAGATTTGGATAAATTCTGGCAAGCCTGCTTTTAGACAGATGAAGCCTTAAACTGGAGCAAACTGTCTTATGTTTATCAAAATTGAATGTATCCTCTTAACTGCATGTTGCCAGGAGATGTCCGACAATACAAATCCTGATTCCTCCTCCTATGCTTTCCTAGTATGGCTAAGTGATTATCTGGATATCCTGATACAATCTGCTCACTCTTCCATTTAAATCCTCCTCCAGCCTCTCATCTTATCCAGTCACTTGGCCAAGCAACGGAAAGGAAGGAACATTTTTCCAAATAAAGACAGGCACCTTCTGATATCTGAAATGATGTGAACGGAAGATTTTATGATTCACCAGGTTCTCGAATAACAAGAGCACACCGTCCTTAAAAAGATTGGTCAGAGATCAAGAATGGAGGAACTGCCTTACCTCATTACCATGAGAACATTTTGTGGCTGAAGCTGTTTATGCAGTTTAGGAAGAGGACAAACTGATATAAATATGTTATTATTTGTTGTGCAGCCCTTTGAACTTCTGCTGGGATTTATTCTGGCTCCTGGTGCCGAACTGGTCGGCCATTCCTGGTTTAAAGGTTTTCATGCTTAATCTTTTTCTTGTTTGCAGAAAAAGAAGCCAAGATACAAAAAGAAAAGGAACTTGGGATCTATAAAGAAAAAAAGGTAAAGGCAGTCAACCGGAAAATCTTGTTTGCGTTTTGAAAAATACAACTAGATGATCAGTTGAAAATGTGACGAAGAAAAAAAAAAAGAAAAAGTGATTGGTTTTACATAATCTCAGATTCATTTTAAAATTTGACATTCTTTTCAAATCTCAAAAACCCAAATGCTCACTATGGTCTTCTAGTTTGAAAGACAGGTCTGCATGACTTCAAACGAATTATCCTTACACTTTAGGACACTTTTAATTGTGCCTGCTGATTTAAGGTAACCATCGCGACAAAGATGGTGATAAAATATGTAATAGTTTAAAGTACTTTAAAAATGAGGTCTCATTTTGATAAACACTTTAACGGGATAAATCCCGAAGGCTCTCAGTAAAAGGATATGCCAAACAAAGAACACGTCCTTTTGATTCTGAATAAAGCAGAATGATGTAAAAGGGGTCCCCATGTCCTCCAGAAGTCTAAGCCTATAGCAGCATAACTAACCCAGTATTATAGTGTAGCGGATTTTCAAAGAGTTGCTCTGGATACTGAGAGCCGTGGGCAGAAATGACTTCCTTTAGCAGTTAGTATTACCTCTAGTCTGAAGAAGCATCCAGACATTGCTTTATTACCTAGTGATGATGATCGTCCTTCATTTTATGAACAATTCTTTTCTACTCAATAATTTCCAGAGGCTCAAAGAAACTAGTTTTAGTGCTTGTTGACTTTTTTTCCAAGTCCCTTGCTCTGATGTTGCTACCCAAATGTACATGTTACCTGTATGCTCTTGCATACAGGAGCCTTTGCTCCAAAGATTAAAAAAAAAGATGGATGGCATGAATGCTTGACATATTTAAAAATATTGCTCTTATATTTTTATATTTCATTTAACATTCAAAGTCCCAAAGTGGCAAAAAAAATAGGATAAATTTGAAATTAAAGGTCAAACCTTTTGTAAAAAAACAACGGAAACTGAATTAATCCAGTCTGTTGCACTAGTTTTTTTTTGTGATAAATACTATAGACGAGATTAGTGGAAAAAAAACAAAAAAAAAAACAGGACCATAAGATATTTTTGTTTGTAAACGCTTCTAAAAACCATTAATTATTGTTTTAAAGTTTAAAACTTTCTAAGATATATACATGTTTGTGGATATTACATATCAAAATGGGAAAATGTTTAATTTCCACATATCTGCTATTTGTTTAACTTTACACGTCTTTTAGACAAGTTTTTTTCATTAGTATTGATTGTTATAACGTTTCACACGATGTGACGTTTTACTTCATTGTGTACATCCTCTATGTTTAAAACAGCCAAGAAGTCAATCAAGAAGGAACACCACCATTAGAGCCAAAACAGCTGATGAGGCCATTGAAAAGATGTTGGAGCAGAAGAAAATATCAACCAAGATCAACTATGATGTGTTAAAGGACCTTAATGTAAAGCCTAGCCCCAGCCAAGCTAGTGAGGCAGAGTCACCAAAGCTGAAGCAGTCAGCCACCAGAACAGCTGGCTCCAACCGAAGGCCTGCTCCCACCCGAACCCCACTGAGCCTTAGCACGCCACTAAGCACTCTTGGAAAACGGTAGGATGTGGTAATCAATGTTTTTTTTTTTTTGGTTGGACGGTAGACACAGGAAATGGGATTGTAGAAAGAGGGACGACATGCAGCGAAGTTCTACAGGCTGCAACTCAAACCTTAAAGGCCACATCTAGGACTGAGTGGTCAGTGCATCGTTCACATCCTCAATCCCTGCATCACCACCATGTTGGAGCCCTGACGTTAGAGCTTGGGGTTAAAACCCTCTCAGAATTGAATGGGGTTTTATAATTGGCAAACTTGCCTGTTTTAATTATGAGTGTGTTGATTCAGTGTGTGAAATGGTTTTGGTAAAGAATTGTTATGCTACAGGTTAACATTAAAGAGAATGACGTCTAAAGTATAATAATCCTCAAAGTTATTTATGGTTGTGCTGCTGAGTATAATTATACATAAGGGCTTGTCTAAAGAATATGAGGAGACCTATAAGCAGACTTGAATCTTACATCGGCATCCTGTAAATATTTAGAATATTGACATTTGTCTTCCCCTTGATCATCCGGGTGATGTTTACCTGAGATGATCTGAGCCAGTCAGACTGATTAATCTAAACAATACAATACAATACCATTGTTCCACTTGTGCATAATGCAGCAGAATAGATGAACTGGCATTACAAGAGGACATTATTAATGGGTGAATTAGAGTGATCAGAAAGATTTCCTGCCCATGATGACTGTCTAATATGCTGATTTACAGTCCATAGAGCAATGCTCATGGCCCCAAGTGTCGGAAAATGGGAGACGCTGACCAGCTAGACCCACGGCATCCTCATTCAGTCTTAAGTGTTACAGTGGGAAGTCAGTGCACACAACTGTAATGTAGAATAATGGGAGAGGTAGCTGGATGAGCAGTTCTAAAGAAACGCAAACAAATATTTGCTTTTGTTACAGATTGCAGCCATTCATTTCCAAACAGCCCAACAAGAAACTGGCTGTTGAGAAGGTGAGTTTACTGTTCATTTACTCTTCAGCTTTACTTTAACAAGGCAGCTCGTTATTAAACCATTTCCCTACAACAAATTGAAGGACTAGAACACATTTTGATGATCGGACAATCCCATTTCCTCAACAGAGCTTTTGCCAGAATATGGGTCTTTGTTCACCTGGAATGAGCCAGATTGATTGTGTAGCTCAATTTGTCCCATTATGTAGAGTGAAAAAGCCCAGCCCTGTTGGTGAGGGGGAAAAAACTCCTTCACCTATGCTGAAAAACTGCAGTGACAGTGAATCCCTTTTACCTTCCCCTTCTTCTTCAGTAGAAAAGGTTTTCCATATTTTTTTCTTGATATTACGGTACAACAATGATGGACACTCTAAAAAATAAAATGCTTTGAGTTAAGATAAATATGTTTTGCAATAAGACACAGTTACAGAATTATCCATCATTGACAGTTTGCCTTCTGTTTTTACAAATAATACAGGTTCCTCTAAAAAAAAATTTTTAACTGCTGACAAGTACAATTTTCTTTGACAGATATTCTGGAAAGTCATACTGTCATAGTAGAATATTTACATGCAGTGACCTTTGAGAGTAAACAGAATTTATTTGGAGATCGAGGTCCCAGAGTCTTGAGGAAGACCAGAGAGGCACAGATTTCTGTTGCTTGAAGTCTAGTGTGAAACTTTCCTTGTTCAGTGATGGTGTCTGGTGCCATGTAGTCTCATAGTGTTGCTCCAATGGATTGGTGTGCCAACAGCAGCAGAACAGGGACCAGTTCTTGTGCTCCTGGACTCAGAGATCCATTTTCCCAGCTGCTTCTTGTCCATCAGGAAGTCTGAAATCCACCTGCAGGTGAAGTGGGGCATGTTCAGTAGGGAGAGCTTGTCCTGCAACAGGACTGTGGTGATGATGCTGCTGCTGCTGCAGAACGCAGATCTTTAATCCATTAATATGATCATGGTAAAGGATCCTGGGAAGTCCAGAAACTGCAGTATGTAGTAGAGGTTTGGGCAAATGATCTTAGGGGTAATCTGTTGTCCTTGTTTTTTTTTTTTTTCCAAGTCAGGGATGATGGTGAATGTCTTGGAGCAGGCTGGCACATGGCATGTCTCCTCTCAGGTGTTAAAAATGTCCATGAAGAATGGCTGAACAGCCCAGTGTGTCGGGGTCCTTGTAAAATTGAGGACAGGGGGGAGGGGTCATTAGATGTTATACACAAGTTTTATTTTTTGACGATAATTAAAAAAGTCTTTTCATGACATTCCATCTTTCTAATGTTGCTGATAGAGCACATCTTTGAATTGTATCTTGGGGTAGTGAGGGTCAGAATTTTCCATTTTAAATAAACCTGAAATGTTCTGTCCTCATGCTGTAATGTCAGACTTGCAATAAATGCTGGGAGGTGCAGTTTTTCGGTCTATTCTTAAAAATCACCCTAATGGTGTGCTACAAATCTTAATTAAAAATAGTAACACAATAATTAGCTTCCCTGCACATAAACATTGTTAATTCGATATTTCCTCAGACTGAAGCCACCAGCTCCCCAACAGTGACCGAAGTAGCCCATCCCAGCGAAGTTGTTGTGGAACATGGCCCCGTGATCTATGACGATGTTGAAGAAGAGGAGGATGAAGAGGAGCCCTGTGTTAGTGCTATGGAGCTGCTTGGTGGTGACGGTCAGTTGTGAAATGCAAACATCTTCTCTCTTATTATAACATTTATTTATATTTAACCGTTCCACTAAAACTGTCATTTCAAGGCAAATGGAACCAAACCAAAATTCTCAAACATTAAATGAGTAGTGTGTTGTATTCAGCTGAATGTCGAGGGGTGTAGTTTATAAAGCGTGCATACGCAGAATGTGGCCTCAAACTGGCGAACATTACTTTATTTACAACACAATGGTAAAACAGATTGTCAGACTGCATCAGAATTCCTCTGACATTCAGTTTCACTTCATATCAAACTTCTCACATTATGATACATTTAAAATAAAAACATTATATAAAAAAAATTAGGCACCCAGAGCATGTTTTTGCAATTTGTGCAAGAAAATTCCTCTCAGATTAGGGAGACAGCCAAGGACACAAACGTTAGCTGAAGTGCTAACATGTTTACAGGCTGTCAGGCTAAGCAGCTCAACACAACAATGTTACTCCCAGCTCTTTAAAGCCTTGTAACTAAGAGTATCAATCCTCTCTTAAATGAAGCCTGATTTGTTAGCACTAATGTTGTGTCGGCAATTGTCTTTCAAATGCTCAGCACACACACTCAAAACCTTCGAAAGTTTTGCAGGTAGGTTACCATCAGCTGAGTCTGTAGGGACTCAGTTGAAGGCTGTTATAAAGACTTTTGTCGTGTTGATGCCATACCTGGGCTGACCATAAGGAGAACCAGGAGTATTGCCAAGGCGCCGGCCTGGGATTAGCCTGCTGGCATATGTCTATCTCTCTCTGTCTCGCTCTTTTTTTTTTTTTTTTGTAAAGTCTTCCAGTGCAGTTGTGATGCTCCTGTCAGAGAGGCAGGCCAGGCCACTTTGGCCAGTAGCATGTGAGGCGGGAAAGACAATTGGTTTATTTCAATTAAAACCCGCCCTGTCTGACGTTTGTCTGGTGCAGACCAAAATACTCATAGTCGATACACGTTTTATCTCTTTAGTTTATCCCTTTAAGTTATCCTTTTAATTTTGTACGAGAAATACACTTTAAACCACCTCAATGGGCATCTATCCCTTTAGTCGTGTACAAAAAACTAATTGCTTACTTTTGGCTGTTTTTTTGCAGCATATGTTGATCTGACCTTTAATTTTTTTTTTTTTTTTGTATGCGATTAAAGGGATACATGCCCATCAAGGTAATTTAAAGTCTATTTTCCATACAAAACTAAAGGGATAAATGCAAATCTAATGTCTTGTGCGTGTGTATTGACTATAGGTATGCTGGTCAGACGGGGGTATGCCGATCTGGCAGAACAGTGGCTGCTGTGGTGTGTGTAGCTAGCGAGCGGTGCGAGTGAGGATAAGAAGTAATGGACTCGGTCTACGAATGTGATAAAAGGAAGAGAAAAGGCGGTGCAAAGAGGCAAAGAGCCAAAAACAAAAAGGTGCTGGAGGAGGACATGGCCAAATGCAGAAAATACCAGATTTATTCAGCTCGGGACAGCAGCTCCTCTACGTAACTCCCTTATAATCACATTTAAACTTAAAGAATTGGGAACAAAATGCAGAACAAAAATTATAGTCGGACTAACCTAATTTGTATTACTTGGGTTTTCATCAAAACACCTGTGCCGCTTTCATGAGCTCCGTTAGCTGTGAGAAAAACCACCGATCCCACGCTGTTCTCTACATCTAGTCTGTTCCTTTGCTTAGTTTGAGTGTGTTTAAAAAATAAATTTAAACTCAAACACATAAGGAAAAACTTACTTTTTGGTTGATAAAAGCTTGTTTAATGTTTCAGAAAGCAAAACAGATCCCAGCCCTATTTTATTTTACTACCTAAAAAATCAGTGTCAGTCAGTCATGTCCTGGCCTGAAAAAAATCCTCCAGTCTGACCCTGGTTGATGCAGAAATTAACAGAGCACCTTAGCTCTTAGGTAAGCAATGTCTGTTTGGATGCTCTGTATCTGAATAGAAAGATGGCGCCTGCTAGAAAGTGGGCTCAGATAGGTGGGGGGACTGGTTATTTTCCCTTGTGACATCATAAAGGGCATGCAGGCCTTAGCTAAGAGGTGTAGAAAAGCAGGTGACAGACTTGAAATGTTTTTTTCATTTGTGAACCTAGGATTTAGGACATGGATGACGGTTACAAAATACTTATAATAGAAATTTAACATAATATGCAAACTTTAATCATAGATTGACATCATCATGGGCATTCCCCAGTTTGATAAATCTTTGCATTGATGAGCAATAGCAATAGGACCTCTCTAAACGCAAGCTTAAATTCCAAATCAATATCTTCACTTTCCTCAACATCATGTGCATCTCCCCAACGATCACCAGTGTTACAAATACCACACATTAACACATAAATTGTGACATGGTGTAAGGCCTTTCCACTGTAGACAATTAAATTCTAACGGATGTGACAGCCGTGCGTGACGGTATACAATGATGCGAGAAGGAGCACGTCTTTTTCACACCAACAATAAGTAAAAAGTTATCAATGATGAGCTCTTAGCTAAAACATAGGAACTAAAAGAGTGGAAGCTTTGGCTGGAGGGAGCTGAACACCCAGTATTTATTCTGAGCAAAAACTGGATCTCACCCATGATCTTCCACAAACCTGAAGCCAAGATGGTTGTGTGTTCCAAATTTTCACTTTTGAAATTAGATTATCTAACTCATTTGAAAAAAATATATAAATAAATAAGTCTGCCATCACTTTTTGTCTGAAGAACAGAAAACGTTCTCCTTATCACCGTCATATACCTTCAGCTCACTGTTCTTCTTTTGGCTCTCATCTTAAAGATTCTCACCCTGGAAGTTGTTGCACCATGCTTCTGATATGCCTCTTCCTCTTCAAGACAAGAAGTTTCTTCAGTCACAAACAATTCCCAGGTTGATGCCCAGCAGTTGCTCTTACTGCCTGTCTGGCCTACTGCATTTATAAAGCCAGCTCATACATTTATATTTAATTGTATGGAATATTTGCTCTCCAGTTTCTACAGGCTCCTCCAGAAAAAAAAGGCACTGCATGTCTAACACTGTCCTTATGTCAGGTCTAACCTCATATGTGCAAATAGACTCGATAAGTAAGAAAAAATCCTCTTTCACCCTCCAGGTTATGGTTGTGATGGAGAATACGACGATGGATACTAGCAGCATCCTTCAACCGTCTTTTCATTCCCAACCGGCTCTGGACTCCAAAGTAGATCCCACTGGAGGAAATGTTCTCAGATTTGTTCTCCTTTGTTCCAGTTGGGTGGAAATGGGAACAAGCGATAAGGTGGTGGCAGAGTGCTTTTTTGAGCAGTGCACTGGATTGTTTCAGGTTGGACTTTTTCCTGCGGAACACAACCTTAAGGAAGGTCTTATTCTAACAAAGCTAACCAAGTCAAAAACATTAAAGGACCTCATTAGGACCTTAGGTTTTATTGCACACAAAACAGTTCAGTGATTTCTCCTGACAGGTAATGTTTTAAAGCTATAATTTTTTTCACTCACAAAGATGTGTTTTTCTTCAGATAGTTATTCCCTTTGTTAGCAAGATAAAACCATCTCTTGATATGTTTAACATGTTTAAATGAAAATAGAATTTAATTTATGCTCTATGTTGCTTACAGTATCCATTCAGAAGTTCTAAAATTAGAAGAGGAAAATACATTATTCTATTTTCCTAAAAGGAGTTTATTGAGGAATGCAATCCTTTTAGGTTTGGGGTTTAATATGATTGTTAATATGGGTTTAATGATTGTGATCATGAGTCTACGTTGTACACTAAACACCCTAACTGGATAAAATAAAACAATTTTTGTTTGGGATTTGTTTTTTTGAGAACTATTCAGAGAATAGGGGTTAACACAGGTAAATCTCTAAGTACTTAATGTTTTCATCTAGTTTATTGCATTTACCTTTAAAATTGAAAAGAACTGATTTTCATTCATATCAAAATCATTTAATTGGTCCGTCCCTAAGTGAACCCCTGCTGCTTAGGGTAGAGCTGCTGACATCTGACCCAGGCTGAGCCAATAGCAAAAATCGAATTCAGTAAACGCTTTTGAACCTGAAGTGGTCAACAAACGGGCAGTTTTGATTTAGTATAGTGATAAATAGTGATGGGTTAATGAGGAATCAATGCAATCGATGCAAACCTGTATTGATGCTGGGTTGACACTTTCTCACAATACTGACACCTGCTGGACATTTAAAGACATTACAGGCAGCTTATTGGACAGACTAAACTGAATCTATTTAATGACCTAGTGCAATGATAGAATTTAAGTTATTGTAGGTTATATTATTTAATATCTATGTTTAATTTGAAAATATCTTTGATAGTTTTAGATTTGCCAATAAATAATGTCAACATATATCATTACATAAAAATTGAGGGGAAATTGAAAATGAGGATGATTGAGGACTAGGTTTTTAAATTATAATTTGAAAACAATAAGTACACCAAAAACAGTAAATAAACTAAGAGTAAATATGAAATAAACTTTAATTTCATATTTACATGGCATTGTGTAGACTGAGACTTTAATGAAGACCACACAACGACGCATCTGTGTTGTTCGACCAATCACTAGTGATAAATCTGATGTGGGGGAGTGGCAGCCTAGTGGTTAGGGCTTAAAGCTTGGGACCCAGATTCTGAGTTCAAGCCCCACTCCCACAGACTACCACTCTGGGTCCCTGAGCAAGACCCTTAACCCCACGCTACTCTTTCTATTTAGTTATGCAAGAATGTTACTTTACGGTTGTACATGACTGTTAGAAAGCTTTGTTAAAAAGTTTATTTTGTGGGAAAATGTAAAGATAAATGGTTAAGATGATTGTAAACAACATTAACTACCAAATAGAGATAAAAGAAAAGCATCCTGACCATTTCATGTACAAAAAATTTATTCAGCATAACTGAACTTTCAAAACAATAAAACTTTGGTAAGACTTTGAAGTGTTCACTTGATTTTTTTGTCGTTTTTCTGTTTTTCTGTAACAAAAAAAAGTAAAAGTAAGGAGAAATAATTCAGACAGTATAAACATAATAAAGTTTAGGACATGAACATTATGATGAATCACCTTCAAAGGAGGGGTCCAGGGAACAAAGCTGGTTTATGAAAGTTGGCCTTTGAACTTCTCTAGCGAGATCACCTTGGGAAAAAAGCCAAAGAGGATTAAAGAACATTTTGATCAGTTATCAAGGGTCCTTTCTTTTCAGTATCCACCCTGATAAATGAAAGTTGATGACTATGAAATATTCAGTCATGAAAGTATTCAATATTGTCACATTAAGCTGTTTTTTTTACTTTTAATCACATAAGTTCTTATGAGTCTTACTCAGGGTTCCCGCAGGTCCTTAAGTCTTAAAAGGCATTGAATTCTTCAAAATAAAACTAAGGCCTTAATTGGTATTAAAATGTCTTAAATTAGTCTTTCCTAGGTCTTATTTTTTAAAACATCATAAATGGCATTATTTTTGTTATCTAAAA